CTCTCTCTCTCTCTCGAACCGTACACAAATGATGAATATAACACTAATACATGTACACTGCACCTGTTGTTGGAACACTTATGTTCTTGTGATGACCAGCCGTGACGTCATAGAGAGACTTAATGTCGGTAGACCAGGACTCCCCGATACACAGATCAAAGCTCTTAATGCTTGCTTTAGATGCCCGGATGGTGAGAGTCCCCTGGTTGAAAAACAATATTAATTGCAAAAACGCAATACACTATCACTATCAGCACACACAAGCATATTATTCTGGCGCTCATATGACCGTATGCAGTTGCGAGCGCCATAAAACCTCTACTAAAACTAAACTAAACACAAGCATATTAATAATAGGCTTAGATCTAATATTATTACGAGAATGTTCCGTCACTCGTTTTAGTTTTAGCCAACGGGTTACGTTGCTTGATCTTAAAGGAGGCCTAGGGATGAAGGGAAGGTGATGCTAGCTTTAATTTACACAATGTTGTTAGAACACTTATTTAAACTTTGAAAATGAATTCATCAGTGTTGTACCCGGTATTTTATTATTCTTAATGATCTCAATAGGCAAAATTTTGTTTGCAACGGTACACCTCCCTCCCTCCCTACCTACCTACATACCTACCTATCTACCTACCTACCTCCATCCCTCCCTCCCTACCTACCTACCCAAGACCCATCCACCTACCCACTGGTACTGGTACCAAATTAACTAAATATACTTATTAGACTACCTTGGCCAACCTACCGGCCACTCATACTCATTCATCCCCCTCACTTACCTACCTAGACTCACCTACCTACTTGCATACCTTCCCAGCCACCCATCTACATAGGCCTACCTACTAACGGTCTTCCGTAAACTACCCATCCAATAACTCGCTTATTTATGGCAGAAGAAGGGGGGAGAGAGGGTAGATCTTCCTCTGTTTAGGCATCTATCAATAGCTGCTTTAAAAATACTTTAAAATTCACTTCACTGGCCAGACACCATAGGAAAAGTACAGCCATGGGAGCAAAAGAGTGAACAGTAAATAGATACAGAAATCAGAAGGAAAAAACAGAAGTGGATTGGATATACAGTTGCACGTCGAGAAAATCGAAAACAAATATTACCCACCTAACCTTAAATTAAAATGGAATCCACAAGTACGACATGTACTTGGAGGAGAGGCTTGGGCAGTTTCAAACAGTCATATATTAAGGAAAGTACGACATGTAGGCCTACTTGGAGGAGGGACTTGGGCAGTTTCAAACAGTCATATATTAAGGAAAGTACGACATGTAGGTCTACTTGGAGGAGGGACTTGGGCAGTTTCAAACAGTCATATATTAAGGAAAGTACGACATGTAGGCCTACTTGGAGGAGGGACTTGGGCAGTTTCAAACAGTCATATATTAAGGAAAGGGCGACAGTAGTCCTTATGATGAACATAAGAAAGAAAGACAGAAGTCTTCATTATTTTTTTTCCCTGTGACTAATGTCGCTTTCCCCCTGAGGTCTTCATTTACAAGTCCAATTTACCGTCGGGTAGTGCCAGTCTACTTCTCCTGTCTGACACGACGACGGGATGGCCAGGTCTTTGCTACTCGCGTCCCCGAGGTGCAGGTCGCTGTGGTGAAAAAAAGAAAACGGCACTAAGGAAAACGTCTTTGTTTTTTTAATAACAGAATAATATGGAGACACTAAAAAAACGTGTTTTTTTTTTTTAATACAAAAAAATAAGAAGACACTAAATAGCACTTTTCTTCCATCGTTTACAAAATATGAAGATACTAAAGACGTAAAACAATTAAGAAGACATTAAAATTTAAAAAATTGTACGTTGAAGAAAACAATTTAAAAGATTATTACCAACAACACACGATCAAGAACCTGGCATAAGTAGCCTCATCATCATATCTCAGGCGTTTGCCAAACTTCCTGTCCTAATAAGTAAAGAAAATTAAAATAATTAAAAACGTAATAAAAGAATGAGAAAAACATTCCTCAAAGAATAAGATAGCACATTAGCATTGGTTGATGTTATCTAAAAACTGATGATTTGCCTTGTTGTTGTTGTTGTTGTTGTTGTTGTTGTTGTTGTTGTTGTTGTTGTTGTT